GGGCGGAAGTGGTGTAGTGGCAAGTGGCACGCTTACCACGCGAGCGGTCCGGGGATCAAATCCTGGGTCGTGAGTCGCCCGGGCCAACCAAGCCTTCCATCCCTCCGGGGTCGGTTAATTGGTACCAGACTTGTCTGGGAGGATAAAAACACTGACTTGTACATCGGCTGGCCCCCGCAAGTCATTGTATAGGCCACATCGCATTCAAACGCCACTACGAATGTACAAATGGAAGTAGAATGCGTGCCGCATCCCAAAAAGGGATTGATCAACGGCAAATGCTTTATCCTTTTTTTTATCCGTAGTTACTTACAATTAGAGTATTCCACGGGTGTCCCCCAAGAGGCCCGTCGCGCGGCGAAGGAAGAGACGCAGACGCGGCAAAGGACGAGTCGCAGCGCATACTGTAGCGGTTAGGCGTCAGGTTAAATAGAGTGTACCATACTACGTCTCATATCGCGCAGCACGCGCTGCGACTCGTCCTTTGCCGCGCGATGGGCCCCTTGGGGGACATCCTGCTCAGACCCACATCGTCTCCCCCGCTTCGCTGTCTTGCTCTAATCATTTAGCAGGTAGAGCGTTAGCGTTGGAGAGGGCAGCACCGATGAAACCTCATCCCTCTTCAACGCTAACGCTCTTTGTCGTCCAATGTGGAGATAAGAGACAAAAACGGGACCCATTTTTTCCCGGGTTCTGGACCGATTCCCATGTTATTTTTCCCTTCATCACTGCACCACTGACCACCTCTGTCTTAATTTCTGATTAGCCGTTTTTCATCGTAAACTCGGCGTTTGAAGCGGCGCTGAAGGAGGAAATATTTGTTTGTTGAAAGGCTCCATTCACCAAATAGACCACGTCTGCTCCTCTGCATCAATGCGATGAAGAAGGTACTGTGCCTTTAAATACTACATGTGTAATAACCAAATGGATGAACACAGGATAAATAAAAAATAAAGAATGTGCACCTCTACGACTCTTCATGGAGCATTTCAAAAGGCAACCTTTAGAGATGCTACAGGAAATTTCTTTTTTAGCGCTTCTCAATTACTCCTTGACGAGGTTCATTCACTTCATACGCTTTAGTGTTTTGAACTTTTTTTCCAATTCGTCAGTTGTCTTTATCCCAGCTAACGGCTTGTAGCTCATGCATGAGTCTTCCTATGTATGTACAGCAAAAGCCCTTCTCCTATCAACACCCTTATCCAAATTGGTTCCCTCTTCCAAAAAATCTTCCAAAAGTCAGCAGAAAT